CAATCACAAAAAAAAAAAAAAAAAAAAAAAAAAAAAAAAAAAAAAAGAGAGAGAGAGAGTTTTAGAAAGGGATTGAATGTAGATCCCAGTTCCTTTACTGCCTCGCTGGATAACTTTGGGCAAATTATACAACCTCTCTGAGCTCTGGTTTTCTTTTTTCTTTCTTTTTTTAATTATTTTTATTGAGCTGTATATTTTTCTCCATTCCCCTCCCTTCCTCTCCCCTCCCCTTCTACCCTCTCCCAGGTCCCCATGCTCCCAATTTACTCAGGAGATCTCATCTTTTTCTACTTCCCATGTCTCTCTTAGGGTCCTCATTGTTGTCTAGGTTCTCTGGAATTGTGAATTGTAGACTGCTTTTCTTTGATTTATATCTAAAAGCCACTTATGAGTGAGTACATGTGATATTTTCTTTCTGGGTCTGGGTTACCTCACTCAATATGATGTTTTCTAGCTCCATCCACTTGCCCACAAATTTCAAGATGTCATTTTTTTCTGCTGTGAAGTACTCCATTGTGTAAATGTACCACATTTTTCTTATCCATTCTTTGGTTGAGGGGCATTTAGATTGTTTCCAGGTTCTGGCTATGACAAACAAAGCTGCTATGAACATAGCTGAGTACATGTCCTTGTGGCATGATAGAACCTCTGGTTTTCTTACAATCGTGTCAAAGTCTAGACATCATCAGTGCCTAATCTTAACCCAGTCCTAAGAATGGCACCGTGAGGGCCTGTGAGATGGCTCAGCAGGTGAAGATGCCTTCTGCCAAGCCTGACATCAGAGTTTGATCCCTGGACCCTAGATGGTGGAAGGAAAGAACCGACTCCCTCACACTGTCCTCTGACCTCCACGTGTACACTGTAGCATGTACACAGGCTCACGCATGCACACGTGCACACCCAACCCAAATGATGCTGATGGGTGCCAACACTGAGGAGGCAACTTAGGGTACGGACTAGAAAAAGGGTCTGAGAACAGAAGCTGAGGAGGGGGGGCGAGAAGTGAGCCTTCCCTCACACTAACCTGTTCCCCACAAGAAGTGAGCCTTCCCCCACACTAACCTGTTCCCCACAAGAAGTGAGCCTTCCCCCACACTAACCTGTTCCCCACGAGAAGTGAGCCTTCCCCCACACTAACCTGCTCCCCAACTCCCCTCTCCTCAGGGTGTCTTCATCTTAGTGTTTGGCTGCCTTACAGACAAGAAGGTGAGTGCCCAGTTAGCCCCCCACACTCCTGACCAAGAGGCCAAAATGTCCTCGGCACAAGCAGGTATCTGTCTACCTTCCCTTCAGGTACTAGAGGCCTTGCGCAAACGCTTCCAGGGTACCCGGTCCTCCAACTCTGCCATCTCCCTGGTGAGTTGCCCCAAGCCTCAGCTGTCTGTGAGATGTGGCCAGCCATCCTCCAGCCCTCCCCAGGAGAAATGGACCCAGCTCGGAGAGGAGAGTTAGGGGCTCTTTTGCAGCAAGCAGCTTTCAGACTCAGTTTCTCCAGCTGCAGGGATGGGGAGGTGGGCAGACCAGCATGCACAGTCAGAATGGGGTTTGGGGGTTGTGGGTGACCACCTGGACAGTGGTGACACCCCACTTCATAGACTCCCCCATTTAACACTCTGTTCCATCTCAACATTTGGAGGGAAAAAAAGTTGGGCCCCGTGGGACCTATGTAGCTGATCCCAAAGTTCCCGGAAGGGCTGGCGAGACTATCCGAATGGATATAGCCTCCTCACAGTTGGGTGGGCTGTAATAAAGATCACCCCAGCTGGACCTTTCTGCTTCTCCCTAGGCTACAAATGAAACCTACACCTCGGAACCCAGCAAAGAAAGAAGTGAACATGCCAGGTGAGGGGAAGAAGCAGAGTGAGTAATGGAGGGGAAAGAGGCTGTAGCAAGAGTCTCCAGGCCAAGTCTCCCCGACGCTCCCCCGACGTGGGGGGGGCGGGGGGGTTAGATCCAGAACAAGCATATCCTAAGCATATCCTGACGCCCCAGATCTTAGGTTTATTAGGTTTACACTTTGAGAAAGGGTCTCGCTAAGTTACCAAGGCTGGCCTTGAACTCACCCTAACCAACAGGACGCGACCTTGTGATCTCCCTGCCTCCACCACCCAGGTGATTGGCCAACAGGCATGTGACATCATACCTAACTCCGCCCAACTTCCTGGCAAGCAGCTCCCAAACCCAGCAAAGCCTTACCCCAGCGGGTGTGGCCATCCCTGAGTGAGCAGCGGTGCAAAGGCAAAGCAAATTAACCAGGATCTAGCTCATCCCAGAGATTCCCTTCCATGATACCAACTTTTAAATTATCTGGAAAAACCTTCGCCTCAGTTAGATGTGGTGTGTATCACTGTAAGCAGGAGGAGCAGGAGTTCAAGTTCAGTCTAGACTACATAGTGAGAACCTGTCCAAGCAAGAACAGAGAAACTATATCCAGACCTGTTCATTTAACGTGTGTGTGTCCGTCTGTCGGTGCGTGTCTGTGTGTTACACCAACCAACCAATCCGGCCTTGAATGACTTGCCCTAGTGGGTCTTCTATCAGGAGAGGAGAGTTGTTTACACAGGAAAGCCAGAGTGTCCTGTCCCCAGCCCCCAGCTTCAGGGCGACCTCCGTTCCAGGATGAACCACGCGTAAGCTCACCTTCCTGGCAAGGGAGGTGAGGGCTTGTGCTGGAATCCACCAGATGAGTCCCAGGCCGTATTCTGAGCACTCTCCACTCCTTGCTCAGAAAGACAGGTTTTCGTTTTCATCAGTCACAGGCAGCTCCTCATGCGGCTCAGCAGTCCAGAGCCCCTGGTGTCCAAGCAAGACGCATGAAAAGAATTAGCGAAAGCTACCTAGTGACCTGATGAAAAAGCCTGCTTTTGCTGAAAAAGCAAAAGAAAAAAAAAATACAAACAGATGTCAACATTCCAGAGAACTACAAGAAAAGCAGTTTTAATCAGCAATGAACTCAACAGTGTGTGTGACAGACACAAGGAAAATGTTTTTAATGTCACTACTGAGTGATTCCTTTGTTCTTTCTTTTTGATAGTTATGAAGAAAATATGACTGATTGACAGGAACCTGTGATCTTCCGAACACTGAAGATTAAGGACAGCATTCATTTTCTTTGGGGACAGTATTTAGTTACAAAGTCCTTTTGTTGGTAGTTTTTTTTTTTTTTAACTCTTTACTCTTTGGCTCTTGGGGGGGGGGGCGCCACCCAGATCCCAAATAATTCACGTAGAAACATATTCTTACTTATAAATGCCCCACCTTAGTTTGGCTTACTCTAGCCAGCTTTTCTTAAATTATCCCATCTTTTGCCTCCGGGCTTTTACCTTTCTCTGTTTCTGTATAACTTTCTTCTTATTCTGTGGCTGGCTCCTTGAGTTCTCCCCCTTTTGTTTCTTGATCCCTTTTCCTCCCAGATTTCTCCTTCTATTTATTCTCTCTGCCGGCTGGTCCGCCTATCCTTTCTCCTGCCTTGCTATTAGCTGTTTAGTTCTTTATTAGACCAATCAGGTGTTTTAGACAGGCAAAGTAACGCAGCTCCACAGAGTTAAACAAATGCAACATTAAAAAGAAATGCAACAATCTTTGCATCATTAAACAAATGTTCCACAGCATAAACAAATGTAACACACCTTTAACTAATATTCCATAATAGTCCTTACTAATATAGCTGTCTTTAAAACACATCAAAAGACATCATTTACTAGTCGATAAAGTTGCGCATACGCGGCATAGAAAAAATCCAAAGTGATAGTGAATTTGCCTATTAAAGCAGATGACTGAAAATTAAACAACAGGAAACTTTCTACAGTACTCTCTTAAACAGGGAGGAAATAAAAATGCATTTGCTCAGGCTGTCAAGAGAAGAGCCTGACTATTTTGTATTACTAACTATAAACGTACTATTGGAAAAGGTAATGTCAGTCTTTGGGAAGTGCTTTACAACAAATTGCCAAGTTTACATTTACTTATATAACCATAATAAAAAGCTGACGACGCATGGACTGTGTGTTTCATAGCAGAGCAGTAGAATCGACAGCAACTTTAGAACTGTCTCACAGAGAAGATGATCAGTCGGTTTCCTAGTGGTCCAAGGTTTTCAAGTGGCCCAAATGTCTCTGGAATAGTTGTTTTACCAATCTTTATATCTTGCTTTTGCAACACATGCAATGTTCTGTAATAGCCAGGTGTAGTGGTGTGAGTTTTTAATCCAGTACTCAAAAGGCAGAGGCAGGCAGATCTCTGAGTTCAAGGTTAGGATGGTCTACAAAGTGAGATCCAAGACATCCAGGGCTACCCAGAGAAATCCTGTCTCAAAAACCAATCCCAATCAAACCAAATGAACACAGAAAAATGTCCTGTATTCTTTCTTTCCTTGTTCTGCTTCTCATTTTCTGTATTTATGGGTGCTTTGTCTGCATGTATGTCTGTGTACCACATTCGTACAGTGCCTAAGAGGCCAGAAGAGGGTGTCAGATCCCCTAGAGTTACCCATAGCTATGAGCCATCTTGAGAGGGCTGGGAATTGAACCCAGGTCTCTAGAAGAGCAGCCAGAGCTCTTGATGGAAGAGCACTCTCCAGTCTTTGTTTGCATCCTTTAAGATTTAGGAAAAGGTGAAGTCCTTCTATCTTTAACCTAAAAAATAAAAAAAATCAATAATCAATATAAAATAAATGAATCAGGGTAGTATGTATAGAAACAAAGAGGCACATTTGAATGACACTTGAAAGGGATGGATTAAGGCAGGACAGAAGAGTAAGATGCAAGAAGACAGGACAATAAAGCATCTGGCCAAGGCAGGCAGTGGTGCACACGCTTTTAATTCCTGCACTCGGAAGGCAGAGGCAGACAGATCACTGTGAGTGTGACTGGTCTACAGAGCGAGTTCCAGGACAGGCTCCAAAGCTACAGAGAAACCCTGTTTTGAAAAACAACAAAAACGACCTCTGACTAAATTAACAATGGGAAAGGGAATGACAGGTTTTTGAGAAAATATATAAGAGCAATGAAAAATTTCTGATGAGTCAGTCTTCCTAATTTACATGATCTATGGATTTTTTTTATAAAATGGGATGAAAACATTAACTGTTAAAATAAGACTGGAGAGTCAACGAGATGGCTCAGCAAATAAAAGTGCTTGCCATTTGAGCCTGACGACCGAATTTGGTCATCAGAACCCACAAATGGCGGCAGGAGAAAACGGACTCTCCAAAGTCATCCTCGGACCTCCACTTGAGTGTCGTGAGTGCCCGTGCCCACCCCCACCTACATGCAAGATGACTTAAAAAGGAAATGGCCAGTGAGCCAATAAATGTGCAAAGTCTTCTCTGCAGTCTCAGTAAACATGACTCCTCAAAGAGGCAGCGGGTAAGAGCAGTTAGGACAAATCCACATGCAGGGCTCAGTAACATGGGGAAGCTGGGGAAGTGGTTAGGCTACAGAGCTAAGCAAACAAAGAGCTCCCAAGCAGCATCACGCTATGGGACTTTGGATTGTTCAGATATCCCTAAAGAGGAGAGAGATCAGTGTTAACAAGGGCTCCAGGGCAGTTTTGTTTTTACTTTTGTTGTTTAATCTGTCGCTAGCTTATTTGGGACTTTCCCTTTTTCTTCCCTCTCCCCTACCCCCAGACAGGGTTTCTCTGTATATCTCTGGCTGTCCTGGAACTTGCTCTGTAGACCAGGCTGGCTTCAAACTCACAGAGATCTGCCTGCCTCTGCCTCCCGAGTGCCAGTATTAAAGGCGTGTGCCACCACTGCCCAGCTTATATGGATCCCTTGGGTCTCTCAGGTCTCTCTCTCTCTCTCTCTCTCTCTCTCTCTCTCTCTCTCTCTCTCTCTCTCTCNTCTCTCTCTCTCTCTCTCTCTCTCTCTCTCTCTCTCTCTCTCTCTCTCTCTCTCTCCCTGTGTGTGTGTGTGTGTGTGTGTAGTGTGTATATGTGTCTCTCCCTCTTTCACTTTTTGTTCTTCGACGAGGTTTCTCTATGTAACCCTGGCTGTCCTAGAACTTGCTCTATAGATTAGGTTAGCCTTTATTTTATTTATTTATTTTTGAGTCAGGGTTTTGCTGTAGCTTTGGAGCCTGTCCTGTAAACTAACTCTTGTAGACCAGGCTGGCCTCAAACTCACAGAGATCCGCCTGCCTCTGCCTCCCGAGTGCTGGGATTAAAGGCATGAGTCACACTCACCTGACGAGGCTAGTCTTGAACTCAGAGATCCACCTGCCCATCAACATCCAGCTTAGGACTTTTCAATGAAGAAGAATCATTGTTTGGGGGCCTGGGAGGGTGTTGGAATGGATGACTCAAATCCTGGCAGTGGTGCTGTCTTAGGGGAATGTATCGTTAAAGAGAAGAGTGGGGGCCACCACGCAGCTCCCAAGTAAATCACTCACACAGAGGCTTATTCTTATGTATAAATGCTTGGCCTTAGCTTTGCCTGTTTATAGCCAACTTTTCTTAAATTATCCTGTCTACCCTTTACCTCTGGCCTTTTTGTTTTTTCTTACGTCTTTTTCTCATACTTTCACTTGTACTCTGTGGCTGGCTGGCTGGCTGGCTGGCTGGCTGGCTCCTGGTGTACTCTTTTTTTCTTTTCTTGCTTCTTCCTCTTCTCCCAGATTTCTCCTATTCATTCTCTCTGCCTGCTAGCCCCGCCTATCCTTTCTCCTGCCTTGCTATTGGCCGTTCAGCTCTTTATTAAACCATCAGGTGTTTTGGACAGGAAAAGAATCAGAGTTAAACAAATGCAACATAAAAAGAGCAATACATCTTTACATCATTAAACAAATGTTTCACAGCATAAACAAAAGTAACAGACCTTAAAGTAAAATTCTACAAGAGAAAAGGCTCTTAGATTTGTGGGCAATATCTGGAGCTGCACTGGACGACGTCCTTTTCCCTTCTGTATAGGGATGGTCAGATCAAACAGCTGATTACCAGAGCAGAACACCAGATGACACTTTAAAACTTCCTCAGCTGCCATCTTGAGGCAGCAAGAGTATAACTTTCAGGCCAGCCTGGGCTACGTAGTGAGTCCCCCCCCCCCCAGGCCACCCTGGGCTATAAGGTGGTTAGATTTCCTCAGGAACCATGCTTCCTTATTTGTCCAGTATATATTTAAATATGTAAAAGATTCTGAACTTTTCTAAAGAAATCAGTTCTAATACAAAATGACAAATTTCAGTTCCGTACAAGGAGTAAGTCCAGAGAGCTGATCATGTGAGAACTATAGTTGATAATAATGTATTTATTGGTACTGTACACACACACACACACACACACACACAAGCCATGTGAGAACTATAGTTGATAATAATGTATTTATTGGTACTGTAAACACACACATACATACACACACACGCCATGTGAGAACTATACTTGATAATAATGTATTTATTGGAACTGTACATTGTTATGGTAAAAGTAAAATGCTGCGGATTTTACTCTCAGGTGGCTGCAGAGGGCAGTGGGCCATGAGACCACACCCGCAGGTCCCCAAAGTGGCAGCAGGCAGTAGGCAGTGGGTCCTGAGAGCAGTCAGTCCCAGGCAGGGACGGCATGGTTCCCCAAGTGGCCGCACTGGGCCACTAGTCCCAGGCAGGGAGCCATATGGTGGATGAGAGACCTTGACGGGGCAGCCAGTTCCACGAGGAGAGACTGGTGGGCACGAAGGCAGCTGGTCTCAGGAATAGGCATGACATGCAGAGTGAGGTTGGACATTTATTTAGGGGAGAAGGAGAGAGAGAGAGAGAGAGAGAGAGAGAGAGAGAGAGAGAGAGAGAGAGAGAGAGAGAGAGAGAAGGAAAGACTCAGGCTGGAAGTTGAGATCAGCTTGCCTAGGCAGACAGGGGAGGGAGTGGGCGTGGCTTGTCTTTTTAAGGAACAGGACAGATTATATTCCCATCTCTTTTTTATAATAAAGCAGGAGGTTAGGCACCACAGGTTAAAGTAATTGGGGCAGCTGATTCTCAAGACTGCTTCCTGCTTATTTGTGGGCATTGCCTTGGAGGAGGAACCTGGAAAGCTGGGTGCTGGTCACATCCTGGCGTAGCTGGTCTGTTTGCAGCTGTCATGGCCTCTTCAGCTATGAATCGTTTTGTATATTTGTGTTTTCCAATGGTCACTTTGGGGTCATGACCCCACAGATTGAGAACTGTTGCCTTGGAGGCTATGTGATTTGCAGATATTATCTCCACAGTCTTTTCACTCTTGATTGTAACTTTTGATGCAGAGAAATCCAAATTTTTCTCATTGCTCATACTTGTGTGTTATATCTAAGAAATTATTGCCAAACCCAATGTCATCTGACCCTATCCATGCCAATTTTAATTTTGGTTGCCCCTTCCTTGCCTAGCTGAAGATCCTGCCCAGGGCAACAGGCACAGGAAGTGAACTGTACCCCAGCCATGGATTTTAAACATGGAGTCTCACAACTTAGCAGTGGACCAGGCTGGCCTTGAACTCACAGAGCTCTGCCTACCTCTGCTTCCCCGGTGCTGTGTTGAAAGCGTGTGCCACAAGGCCCAGCTTGTTTGTTTGTTTAAACTGTTAACTCCAGACACCATTCAGCTTTCACCAGTTTTTCTATTAATGCCCCCACTCCTTTTCTGTCTCAGAATCTAATCCGTGTTGTTACTGTTTCTTTATTCTCCTCTTTCCAGTGACTGCTTCTCATGATATTTGCAGTTTTTTGTTTTTGGAGACAGGGTTTCTCTGTGTAGCTTTGAACCCTGTCCTGGAACTTGTAGACCAGGCTGGCTTCTAACACAGAGATTCGCCTGCTTCTGTCTCCCAAGTGCTGGGATTAGCACCACGGCCACCCGGCTAACCTTGATGGTTCTTAAGGACTAGTCAAGTACCTTTTAGAATTTCCCTTAATTTTAGTTTGCCTGGTGTTTTCTTGTGCGTTGACTAATTTTGAGGGTCTGAGGATCTTGGGTCAAGCTGGTGTTCACCCTTTCTCCACTGTAAGGTTATCTCTTCTCACTTCCCAAACACCACTCATCTGTCACAAAGCCCAGTCAAGGGGGAGAGGCTTGTTTCAACTTCCATGTATTATTTTTCTGTAAAACAAAGAAACAAAAATCCTACCTTTTCTTTATTTTATAAATTACCTTTTAACTCATCTGTAGGCATCTTAGAAATCAGCTCTGTTTGTAAACTTTCCTATCAGTTGACGAGAGCTATTTAGTGCCCCTTTATCTGAAGAGCAATGCTGCTGTCAGAGACCTGGGATCAGGAGCGTGTTCTTCAGGACAGACTCCTAAGAGAATGTGGAGTTACAGACTTTGTGCCATATTCAAATGCACCAGACGTCAGGCTCTTTTTCCAAAATTCCTATCAATCTGTATTATCACAATCTACACCGAGCTGACAAAGCTCAGTTCCAGTACTCACATGATGGCTCACAACCCTCCAGCTCTGGTGTGAAGCTACATCTCTGGCCCCCAGGGGCACTTGCACTTACATGGACATACCCACAGGCTAAAACATACATATACACACAATTAAAAATAAACCTTAAAAAATAAGCTTTTGCTGGCTGGTGGTAGCTCATGACTTTAATCCCAGCACTTGTGAGGCAGAGGCAGGCAGATCTCTAGGAGTTCGAGGCCAGCCAAGTCTACGGAGTAAGTTCCAGGACAGTGAAGGCTACACAGAGAAACCCTGTTTTGAAAAACAAAACAAAATAAAAACCTTCTTGCAGGTTGGTGGGTGGCTCATGCCTTTACTCCCAGCACTTGGGAGGTCTAAGCTGTTCTTAGTCAGTCTGGTCTATGTAATGAGTTCCAGGTCAGCTAGACCTACATATTGAGACCCTGCCTTTAAAAAAAAAAGTTCTGTTTTACATCTTCACTGATACTTACTCAATACTTAGTATTCTCAGTCTGGTTGACTTTTGTCAGCCTGGCAGATATAAAGTAAAATATAAATATGGTTTTAGGTTTTCTCTGAACCCTAGTTTCACATTTACTTATCATTTGTATATCATCTGAAAAAATCTTCTGGCTCTATAGCAATTCTTTATATGGCTTGGAATCTTTTTTTTTTTTTTTTTAAGTTTTTTAAAGACAGGGTATCTCGGTAGCTTTAGAGCCTGTCCTGGAACTACCACTTGTAGGCCAGGCTGTCCTTGAACTCACAGAGACTGCCTGCCTCTGCCAAGGTCTGCGCCACCACTGCCCAGCAAACTTGAAATCTTTGAAAAATCTGTCCACTATAGTTTTGCTTATTTGTGGCTTATCTCTCAGAGCATTCTAAGCACATGGAAACAAAATTTTTTTATTTCAACACAGGTAAAATTGAATTTTCAATTAGATTTTGCATGGGTGGATGGGCATACATGTCGCAGTGCACATGTGGAGGTCAGAGAACAATATATGGGCGTTGGTTCTCTTGGTCTACAATGTGATGTGGGCCCTGAGGATAGAATTCCGGTCAGCTGGCTTAATGACAGGTGTCCTTACCCAATGAGCTATCTTACCAGCCCAATATTGGCAAATTTATAGAACTTTCTTTTTTCTCTTCAAGACAGGGTTTCTCTGTGTAGCCTTGGAGCTTGTCCTGAAACAATCTGTAGATCAGGCTGGCCTCAAACTCACAGAAGCAGAGATCTGCCTGCTTCTACCTCCCAAGTGCTGGGACTAAAGGCTCACACCAATATTTCCTGGCCAAATTTACAGAAATTTAATGGCTAGTATTTTAAACGCCTTCCCCAATAAATTCCCTTCTCCCTTCAATCTAAGATCACAGTGAAATTACTTTCCTAAATTTTATGAAAATATTATTCCACCTATTTATCTTAATCTGGACTTTTTTGGTGTTAAATGTACATA